AGAAGAATCTGTGGAGTTCATTTTTTCTGAAAATTACAAATGCCCTACATTTACTCATCATGTGTTTAGAGTAGATTCTGTTAAGGAGCCAGATAAAAATGATGTGTTTATTGCTAATTTTAATGACCCTCCTGACAAGTGTATCAGTGATGTAGGCAGAGTTAGAAATAGAAGAAGAATGATGTATCAAAGGGGTTCCCACTCTTTGATTGAGCGTCTATCTGATTGATCAGCCAGATAGTCCGGCTCATGACTTTAAAGAAGCGCTTATTGGGAGGCAACCCAATTCTTTATTTTGCTTTATTTTTCTTTTTCTTTCATTAATAAGTTGATGGTTAAGTTTTTTGTTCCTGATTATCTGGAGATCTTTGATTTCTAGATTTTCGTGGTTTTTCTTAATCATCTGTTTTTAGGTTTGTTTTTCTAAATTACTTTAGTGTTGCAATTAGGTTTGTTGGACGAGCAAAACTCTGGTGTCCAGTGGTGCTGAAAATGAAACATCCAAAAGTCTGAAGAAGTTGGTCGTGTGCTTGAATGGCAGTTGCAACAATTTATTCAACAATTTCGGTCCTCCGCTTCACATTCCCAAGGTTGTGTCGTTTCTTTTCATTCTTTTTATTTTTGTCTTTTCTTTTCTTTACACTTGGTTGTGTGTCTTTTGTGTTTTATACATTGAGGGCAATGTATACTTTAAGTGTGGGGGAGAGGAATATTTGTGTTTTCTGTTTATCTTTCTTAAACCCATTAAAATTGAAAAATTGAAAAATCCAAAAGGCCTATGATGAAATTGGTTTGATTACCTATAACATGTAAGAATTAGACTATTTTGAATTGTATTGCTTAACTTATGCATTTCTATGTTGCTTTAAATACCCTGTTTCTTTTGCACTTAGTCGTGACTATGGGATGAGCCTAAAGTGAGATATAGTTGCATAAGTTTGATGTAGATATGCCAAGAAAAGTTGTGTTTGATTCACTCATACTTATATGATTTGTATGTGGAACCCATCATGTTGTGAAGGAAAAGCAAGGCATTAACCCAATATCAGCCTTAAAAAACCTTATTGCTTTAACACTTTGTGTTAAGTAAGTTTGGGGGAGGGGTGTTGGCGGATGCTTCTGAGGTTAGGTAAATCTTAATGAGGGAGAAAGGAAGAGCATTCAATGTTGATGCTAGCCCCTTGAGAGGTGAGGAATTGGCAACCTGAGCTGAGAGTCTTCAGACGCGGTGAGGAAAAATAGATGTCTAGACTGCCCTAAGTTGCTGAGCCACTATGTATAGGAGTGGAAAAATGCTCTGGGTAGTGGCCTGAGTTGGAAAGAGTCCTGAAGAAAAGCCGCATGGACTGAAGAATGGGTTACGAGGGGGAATATGTTGTCTGTGAGATAAGTCCTTCTACTTGGCCATTCCTTTAATACTTCTGGCTCTCAGGAGTCTCTTTGTAGGATACTTGGCCAAAGCAGCAAAAAACTTAGTCAAGTTAAGCCAACTTCATAGAGCTAATTCCGTATCTATTCTTTTCCCTGGCGCAGCTGGGCCATCTTGGACTTGAACTAGAGCGAAGCCTAGAGAGGCGGAAGCAGTAGCTTCTAGGATGAAGCCGAGCCGGGGAAAGGCAAAAGATGAAGAAGTTCTTTTGTTGAGCTAACCATGCGTTCACAGTCGACTCAACAAGACGGGTCACTCTCAGCCATAAGCCACGCCCAGTATCGATAGACGCTCGAAAACCATCGGCGGAGGATTTATATTAAATACGCAATCCTCCAAAAAAAATAGAGAAATTCCCCTCTCACTTCTGATATCTCCAGGTCTTGTCACCAAAAACCTTCCCCGATTGACAGAACGTTAGTTAGCTTAACCTCTCGAAAAAAACGAATTGAAAGATTGATAAAAGCACTCCAGCCCAGCCTCTTTCTTCAAGAAAGCACGGACGAGCAATATGAGGAATAACCAAAACAATAAAATTGGTAGGCAGACTATCAGATTTATACACATGGATGACATAAGGAGTTAATAAAATCTTAAATAGAAAATTGGGTACAAAAAATAAGTTATTTAATTTAATTTCAAAGTCATGTGGGTGTGGGAGGCAACTACTGCACAGCCTGCCTAAAGTAGTTTTAAAAAATTTCAAAATTGTCTAGGAGGACCTAGGACCATACTGTTTGAAATCTTATATTGGATCTAGTCCTTTAAGTTTTAGCTGCTGTGCCCCATTGACTAAGAAAGGGGCGGGCGCAGCAGCTACATGGACCCCTTCCTTTCTGTTGTTCCCTATAGTATGATTGGTGGTCCATTGCGTTGAAATAGTATGAAATGTGAGTCTGTTGTTAAAGTAAGATGGCATATTTGCAGTAGAGCTTTTGTTTTCTATGTTAAATGTAAAGTGATGTCCCTAAGAAACGAAGCACACACACACAAGCGTGGGGGCTAAAAGTAACTATGGTTTGCATTGTTAGGTAGTCCATACTAGAGGTAGTCGAAATCTTTGTGTTATATGATGTGATTAAATCTCTGAGGCTGCCTAATTAAATAATTAAATGTTTTTTCTTTGTTTAATGTTAGGGATTGCTTGAGGACAAGCAATAATTCAAGTTTGGGGGTATTTGATATGCTTATATTTTACCTATTTATTATATCCCTAATTTGTGATTTTTGCAATATATTTTGAGTACAAATATGCTATTTATATGATTTTATCTTTAATTGTAGGAATTGTACTCAAATGAAGAATTGTTGAAGTTTTGAGCTAAAATCGAATTAAAAGCAACTCAATGGGAAAGAAAGGAAGATTGGAGCAATTGATGGGGAAGAAATTAATGAGTTTAAAGAATTGGAGGGCCAATGATGCAATTTTAGAATGTTTAATTAAGTTTTTGGAAATTGGCCGAAGGTTACGATGAATGTGCGGCCGATTTGGGATTGGAATTGGATAAGAATTTTAATCCCGATATTAATTGGGAAACAAGTTTTCTTGTTCTTCTAGGAGTAGAGTTTAGCCGGAACCCTATAAAAGGAGGACTAGGGATTTATTTTTACAACAGAACTTGACCGAAACCTGACCGAAACCCTACGGTTAAACACCATCTCCGCCGCTGCAATTTCTCCCTCTCCTCGCCGTCCACCTTCTTTCCTCCTTCACCGGCAGCTTTCTCCTCCACCTTGCTTCCATAACCACCACCTCTCCTCCATCACCACATCACCGAGAAAGCCAGCAGCAGCGGCATTAACAAACTCCTTCACCGGCAGCTTTCTCCTCTCCCAGCCGGTAGCATCATCACCATCGACCGCCATCATCACCGAGCTCACCTTCGAAGCCATCATCCTCACACGCAGCAACGCCTTCTTCCTCTTCTCCGCCTTCCTGGTCACGCCGCACCACCGAAGCAGCCGAGCACCTCCTTGATCACGTGCAGCAGCCGCGAAGCAAAGCTAGCAAATCCGGGGAGTTTTGGCGGTTCTTTAGGCTTCATTCGGTTTTGAAGTTTTAATTTATTTAATTTATTTTTTTTATTATGTCTCTAAATATTATTGAATTATTTTGGATAATGTTTAGTGGCTAAATTCTTTTAATCTAGGGCTTGGGTGTAGCCACCGAATTTATTTGGTTTATTTGGTTCATTACTATTTGATTTTTCTATTAATCAATATTTGTTATTCTTGATTTAATTCGTGTAAGTAATTGGCCACTATTTGCATGTCTGAAGGTATTAATCGAAGTAGCGAGAGTGGAAGATTAATATTAGTTCGTAGGAATAATAAACTTAGGTTATAAGCTACGAGAGTAAGATTATAACCTTTGCAATATTTGATTCTTAATGGTCTTAATGTGCTTTTGTTAATCCCTATAGTCACGAGAGTAGTCATAGGGTTAATCTAAGTAAGAGAATTATAGTACGAGAGTGTATAGTTCTTAATTAGGTGAATCATTGTGAGATTAATGGAAGTTAAAAGTCAGATATTTGTGAATTAAACTATACCAAATATTCGGTAGGTGAACCCAATGTCCTAGGTTTTCTTTGTCTGATTATTTGAATTAATATTATTTGCTTTTATCTTATTTATTTATTTTAGTTTCAATTTTATAAACCTGAGATCATCATTTATCTAGGTAATAATAGGAGTAATTTATACCTGGTAATTAGTATTCCTTCTCTGTGGGATCGACCCTACTTTCTGCTTTACTACTAGTAATTGTATTAAGTAGGTAATTATTATTTGACTAGTTTGACGACGGCTTGTCAAACAACCTAAATTTCAAGAAAATATGTAGTCAGAAGCTTACAGTTTGCTTTCATTATTTCTTCAGGTAACTCATTCATGTGGTTGAGCAAGCTTTAGGTCCAATCTTTTCGTCTAGTAATCTACCAAAGACAACAAAACTAGTATAGTACTTATTATGGATACAATTCATGAGAGTCTTCTTTGTATATAATGAACTTTAAAATTGCAGAAGTTAAAAAAGGAATGCAGTAAAATGCCACAAGAATCAAAACAAACCTCTTTCAACTTTTATTGTTATGGTAGTATGAAAACAATATTCAGTGATGTCAACCTCGTTCTTAATATAATCTTCTACTTATAAGATGTGAGTAACAAAATAAAGAAAACTTTGTGGATGAAATTTATTACCAATGAAGGATTAATTAGCATGCAAGATACACTTATATGTCCCTTACCTTCTTGATAATGCTCTTTAGAGTTTTAATTCAGTTTTGATGAGTGCATTTCAAAGAGAGTTTTGGCCATTTTATGTTTTGAATTTGGACAGATGTTCTTTGTTGCAGTCGTAGCTCTCGATTGTTTTGCAAGCATATCTTGATCATTCTAAGGGAGACTCCTTGCTCAAGTTATCAGCCCTCAAAATTGGTTTGCTCAACTCGACCAACACTTGTGAAGTTTTAGTAATTTTGTTGCCACTTACTCCATTTCCTAGATGTCGGTCCAGCTACCGTAGTCGGCACATGAGGTTGAGCCGCCTCTGGTTGGTTCGTTGCAGATGTCGGGCCAGCAACCACCATCGGAGCATTTTCTTTCTCTGTGTGTTGAGAATTTGGAGTCCGGTATGGATGAGAACTTTATGAGGTCATGTTTCTTTGAGCACATCAAACGTGGAAAACTTGTTTACCTTAGATCGATAAATAACCAAACAACTGGCGATTATGGTTTGCTTGAGTTCAAAACTCACGCCATAGCAGACTATGTTTTACGTAGCTACAATGGCAGGGTCATATCAAGAACCTCGTATCAATACCAATTGAATTGGGCCACTGATGAATCTTCCATTTTTGTTGGGAGCTTGGGTAATACAGTGACATGTTACATCCTTAGAGACAATTTCCTAAAGGATTACACATCAGTGAAGGGTGCTAACGTTGTCATTGATAAGGTCACTGGACAGACCAAGCATTATGGTTTTGTTAGGTTTGGGGATCAAGAGGAACAGAAGCATGCTATGTCCCATATGAACCATACCTCTTGTGCAAACGGTCGCATGGTGATTCAGCCTGCTAAATCAAAGAAAGGAAAGAAAGAGAGGTCCATTTAAGAACCCTAGACACAATATCAAGTCTTCTTTTGGTCTTTATGGTCTGCCAAATGACTACATCGTTATCAATAAGTTTTGTTTAAAACATGGTATTGTTTGTGGTTGTAAGTGCCGAAATCATGTCTGCTGCTATATGTTGAGGCGCATTTTTCTCTTAGCTGACAAATGTTTTTCGAGGTTTTCTTTTCATGAAAACTATCTTTGTTCAATGTAGTTTTGGTTGTTTTTATGAATTTTAAATCAGAGTTGTAGATTATCCGAAAATTAGATTTGAACATGGAATGGTCTAGACTAAAAGTCATATTCTGCGTCTCTGTTTAGGGGATCGATATTTCCATTCCTTGAGTTGTTTGCTGAGGTTTCTTTTCTCGAATTAAAAAAAAAACCCTTTGCAAAAAAATAGCATATGTGCATCATTTCTAACCAAATTATATTGTCATTTGGTATTTTTAAAAGAAGAAGAAATAGAAGAACAAGAAGAAGAAGCAGAAGCAATTAAGAATATGACCTAACCACAATTAGTTATATAAGAGAGTGAGTGGAAAAATATTAATTAGGTATATAAGAGAGTGAGGGGGAAACATATTGTAAACCTGTAAAAATAAAAAAAAATACAAATTTTGTAAAAATAATTTTTTTCTACGCCACAATTCAATGTTTGTGATTACTTCAATTTGAGTAGTTACAGTTAACTATGTAAATTTTGTTTTAAAAAAGGTAACTTGTAATACTCGGAAATTTTTCAAAAATTCTTCGAATGAATAATTTAAAATCGAAAGTAGGTGAAACGGGTTTGTATCATTTAGTTAGTTTTATTCATCATTACACTAGGTACAACACCTATGAGAACAATCTAAAAACACGTGTTAAGAAAGATCACTCGTGAAAATTACAACCAACAAAATATAAACTTAAAGCCACAAGTTAAGTTTCTTGTGGACAAAGTACCAAGACAACGTGGCCAACATTTTGTTGCTTCCTACCCAAGTAGATAAAGGATGAGGGATGACGCTATAAGAAAAAGAGGGAAAAACTAAACAAATGAATTAAAACAAAGTACATAATTTAACTTAAAATGTTTTGTTCTCATATTTTATTGGTAACATGACCAGACAATCACTTGGATATTCTCAGCTCAAGTAAATAAAGAATGCGCGGAGGAATATAAGTAAATATATACACATATATATAATAATTGAATTAAACCTTTCAAATCAAATAGGCAAAATTGACTTGGGCACAAAGTTTCCAAGTTCATATGTGGCAACTTTACTTGAGAAATTAGTGACCCAAGTGTTCAAGCAATTCAGGAAAAAAAAATATTATATGAATATATATATTAAGTAACTTAAACTTCAAGCAAAAGAAAAAGATTTCTCTATTTAAGAACTCAACAAACAATTTCATCCCTCTAACTCCTGCACCATCGTCAATCACCTCAGCCAAAACTCAATAGCCAAATGTAATCCAAAAATGATAGCCTTCCTTAAATATATACATATATAAATAGCTTTTCGTTTCACCCATAAAGAAAGAAAAAAGAAGAGAGAAAAGCAAAAGCTTCCAGCAGTATTCTAAGGCTCAAGAGACTCTTAGGAAAAGTTTGAGAAGGATCCAAAAGCATTATAGTTGTTGATCATCATCCAAGAAGGTAACTCTTGAGTCTTACTTTGTTAAAGTTGGATTTAGAGCTTTAAATTTTAACGACAGAGGTAGAAGCATAATAAAAATTTCAAACTTTTAATATACGTTTCACATTGTGTTTTTATGAATCTCTAAAAATTTCAGAATTTTTGACCAGTAAATTTAGAGAAATAAATTGTTAACTGCGGTTGTTGCGGTCACTATTTTCTTAAACAAAATATTTTGTACAATTTATAATAAATTTGATACTCACCTAAAATTTCTTGGTAATTTTATATATGTTTTCTGGCATGTTGAGGTACCTAAATATCAAATATAAACTATTTTTGAAAAGTATAATAAGTGTTATGAATTTTCTAAACTCTACTGATTTCTGAATTCAAAATGCTAAAACTGTCTACTTTCATCAATTATTTCTCTCAAACCAAAACTCCGTTTTTTAAGAACTTTACGTCAAAAGGAACCCCTTGAAGTACTCTATAACATTTAAAAATTACAAAACTTTTCCAATTACGGATGTTTGGTTTTGGCAAGAAACGTTTTAACTACTCTATTCTGCCGATTCAAAGTAACGACCGATTTTGATTAAATTTTTCTGAGAAAGTTATTTCTTTAAATGATATGATATATTTTAGAAACTTATTTCAAGGGGTTTCTGTTTTGAAACATTTTTTTTTTAGCTTCTATGGGGGATGTTTTTGAAAGTTCGTTTGAAAGTTAATCTTATGAATCGTTGAACTAGTAAATCTTTAAGAAGGATCATGCCTAATAAGATACATTTTAAGTGGGATCATTTGGGACTCTCCAATCCTTCTTGAAAATTATATTTAATGAGATTTATGGTACCATATGTATGTGGTTAGAATTTAAGAACTTCCAATAATAACGTCCAAGTTAAAGTATTAGTAGAAGTAATAAGTATTGAGAAGTAGTATACATTACGAAAGGATTTTACATGATGTTAGGTGAAGAAAAAGACTATGAATTGCTCAAAGAAGAAGTTTCATAAGCCACAAAGGTGCGTTCCCTCGTACGATATACATGCTCGTTTAAGTGCTTATGTGAACTAAATTTTATTTTATTGTTATGTTTGAAAAGTGATAAATGCTTTTTTTGATTTATGACAAATGTTTTGAAATTGAGACTATATGCACGTACAATATTGTGATAGTGATAACAAAAAAGTAAAGGGGGATAAAAAAGCTGGAAAGCCTAAATCCTCAAGTGAATGTAAAAGTGGACGAAAAAGCTGGAAAGCCTAAGTCCAAAGATAACGAAAGGCGAGAGTGGCCTTAAGTTAAAAGTGTCCTGAATTTCGGAGGGCTTGTATCCAGAACTGTGCACAGGTTATCATGATAAAGTATATCGCTATGTTTCAATTTCGTAAAAGCAAAGGTTTATGAGAACGAATAATTTTGTAAAGTTATGTCTAAAGTTCATGAGAGTAGACATTTATGGGAACGTCTTAATTTCATGATATGAAAGTGAATGTTTACAAAAGTGAAAGTTCTATGAACGAAAATCTGAGTTTACAAAACGAAAGTATGTTTTGAAATGATTTGAAATGATCACGTTGTTGTGAAATGTTTTGTTTAGTTTATATGAGAGTACTTGAACTTGCATGTACTGACCCCCCTCCCCCCATAGATACTTCGAGTGACAGTGATGATGGTTGTTACAAGGGGAAGTATGACGGGGAAGAATGGTAGATTGTCACCATGTTTGAGAAAGAAAGAAAAGTCCGAGAAGTTTTATAATTATTTAGTTTCCGCTGCAAGTTACTTTTGATGAATAAGATGTAAGTCTTTTTGGCAAGAATTAAATATATTTAAGAATAAGTATGTTGCCTTACTTGTATGAACTTGAACAATGTTCATCGTTGTACTTGTGGCGTATCAACTGTGCCCCATTTTGGGTCGTGACATAACTAGTGGTTGGTTCATAGTTTGCACATGATGTGAAAATTTTCTGGCATATCTATGAAGAGTATATTGTCTAAGAATGTAAGAGTTAATCGTGTTAATACAGTACATGTGTTGTATTTTGGTTATTTTAAATGAAAGAATCAAATTTTAGTTAACTCGTGCAAAAAGTAAAGAATAAGATATTTCAAATTGTAAATCAAAAAAATATCATGAAGGTATATAAAAGAAAGTGTTTGGTGTCAAATTCAAAGTAGAAAAGTATTTTCAACCAGAAAAAAAAAAGAGAGAAAAAGACTTCTCTCTTTCTCAAAATTATTGTCCAGTATGAATTTTCATTTAGTTAAATTTGTACTACAAATAAAAATCTATAAGGTGGTGGCCACTTTCTGTTTTCTATTCTTCAAAATCGTCATCACTATATATTATATGTTGTTCTCTCACTCTAATTCTTTGAGACTCTTTATTGTGATTTTGTTTAGATATTGATCTCTTGACATTTTTTAATTTATTTTCCACAGTTTTTCCATTGAACCTCTATTTTCTTGTATGTAACTCATCATGAACACCTACATGGTTTTCCCCGTTCCATTATCAATTTTCTGTATAATAATTTCATTAATAATGTTTCTAATGTAAATGATATGTACTAAATTTAAATACTTATATAAATTTTACGATACATGTATTAGTATTGTATGAACTAGATGTTACACCCGCACGATGTGCGGGGTAGATCAATGTGTTTGAATCACAACCTTCTTAACAATAATTATTAAAATTTTAGAAACAAAAATATCATGACATAATACGCGAAAAATAAAACTCCCTACTAAGATAATTTAAATAAGATGTAGAGAAAAGAAAAATTGCATAACTTCGATCGCACCATGTTGACATTCTATTGTAGATTTTTGGTGAGCAGTGCTTCTTCACAATTAAATCATCAAACTGAGTGATCTCAGTTGATAAAATATTTCCGCAGAAAAAGAGCAAAACAACCATAAATAATTAAAAGATTGAAGATAGAGTCAAAATATGAATAAATTCAAAAGATGAGAATTCCTCAAATTTTCTTAATAAAAAAATTCATCGGAATTATCGTCAAGAGCTTGACAAAATGAAACACGTACCAGGGAGTGGAAGGATTTTGAGAGGGAGTGGAGAGGATGTTGAAATATATATACACACCATGATCATAAGGATTAATAAAATGGTATCTTTTTTAAATTAGTAATAATTAATATCATACTTTGAATTTGGATTATTTTTAAAATTTAAATTATATAACTGTAATTTTTTTCATTAATAATTCATCATAAGTTTAGGAGGTCATCATTACCGTAAAACATTATCATAAAATCAGTATGACTTTTGAATTTTGATTTAGTTCATTTTAACCACATCTTAATTATACTAAATAATGAATCTGGA